TCAGGTTCATATGGTTGCAACACTGCAGGGTGTCTTATATGCTCACGGGTGTTCACGGCTGACGAACTAGAGCATGACCTGAAAGCGCGCAGTGATTAGGCAGTTTACTGGTTTAATCTTGCAGCCTACAGAACGTCTCGCTGACTAGCTAGCCTCTGACCTAAAACCAGCGCTGGTCCAAAAAGGGTTTTCACCCTTTCACGTCGCCTATTAAGCGACGTGCCTTTGCAATACACGAATAGATCTTGGCGAAACTCATGATGAAACAGTGTGAGGAAGACGTTTCGCAAGATGTGAATTGCAAATCTTTAACTAATCGTACGTCTAAGAAATCCGGATCCATCTACAGTAGATTGTACATCTGATGAAATGTGAAGGTGAAAATATAAGTGGGGGGGTAGCACACGTTTGAGTTTGTTTACTTTGTTCACTGAGTTGAATTAAACCGTAAAATGCTGTTCACTAGAAAACACTTCACTTCACATCAGTATACTGGGGGGCAAATAGGGGCAGAATTGAGCCGAATCCAACCTTTGTTGAGATCCAAGGAATGCTCTACGCTATTGAAAGCTGTGGACCAAAATTTCTTATTTATGCGTGTTGCACCATAAAAAAACATTAATAAACACCAGAAACGTCTTAATTATTATATCAGTTAAGAAAGAAATTTTCTTTTGCCTTCCAGAAATTGAGGTAAGTGCAAGTATGAGATAATGCATCATTGTCGGTAAGAGAAAAGCGGAGTCAGCTTACAAAGTTTTGCCTTGTAAACCTGTTAAGTTTTGTGCCATAAAGATAACGAATAAACTCAGGAGACCATAAGTTGTTCTACTACGCCGAAATTAGAACCCCTAATTAACCTTCATATGAGGTGTGGCGAAATGTCGTAAGTTTTCTCTGTAAAGTCGTAAACGAACCCCGTTTAAACAGTTTCAATATAAAGAAGAGAATAAAGGAATGTAAAAACCCGAAATGGAACAGGCAGAAGGTTATCAGTTACAGTATAATCGAAGCAGATACTACGTCACTCTGGCGTGCTTTTGCAATCAAAGAACGGGGCCCAGAAGTAACAAAATGTATGGAGAACTGCTCCGGTACACATAGAAAAGTGAGTTCTTTCATGTTCAGCAAAGATTTATCCCAAATTTTCAGAGAAGTCAAAAAACTGGTCCACATTTTCCATTTATTATCGCGACATAATCCTCAAAAAAATACGAATAAGACCCTAAACACACTCTCACCAACCACCGCAAATATCCTGGAAAATGCATGGCTTCACCGCCTACCGTACGGTTTGTATCTGCTTTTTAGCATTAAAATTAGTCAATCGAAAAACCCTAAGAAGGAGGGGGGGGACGAGAGATCTATGACTCACCAATCCTCTGTTCAATGGAATCAGCCGAATTGGCGTAACGGTAGTCCGGTGATGTGAGAGTGCCGAGGCTACTTGGAGGCGGCTGGGTTGGCAAACTTTTTCGCTTCGAGGCTTCACCACCAGTAGTCGAGAGTCGCATAGGTTTCGGCAGGGTAGGATGAGCAATTTCGTTGGCGACAACGCCGGGCGCTTCACTGGCACTATTTACCAGTTCCTTCAAGTCCTCCGCGGA